CCCCTGAATAATAATGTCGAACCCCCCCCCACCCCTTTCCCCACCCGCCGCCCCACCCCCCTCGCCTGCCCCATGGTGGGCCGTCACCAGCACGCATTTTTGGACATGTGGTTTTGAGACATACGTTTTCGGATATGATTCTTTGGACATATGCTTTTTTGAATATGCATTTTGGAACGTGCATTGTGGGAGAACTGTGCATTTTTGGACATGCATTCTCGGACTCCCAACAATGCATGTCCGAAAATGAAAACCCGAAAGTCTGATTCGGATATGCATGTGTGGGCATGGCACGCTTGGATATACATTTGTGGACATGCATTTCGGGATATGCATTTGGGGAACAATGCATCTTTGGACTTGCAATTTTGGACATGCATTTTTGGAAGTTTTTGGATGTACATTTTTGGAACATGCACTTTTGGACATGCATTTTGGGGTTTGGATGCGCATTTTCCGGCTTTGACCTTACAGTAATCACCCATGAGTCTCGTAAAGTTTAGGGCTCGCAGCTACTCCATTCGACTGCGACCCAGCAATGATCGTCCAAGTAGCGTAGCGCAAGCGGATCCAGGTGCCTGCGATTGATTGAAGCTCTCGTGGGACAAGCTGACTTCTAGGACTTCTAGGCCCCTCAAACCCCCGAAAGCTGCAATCCTCAACTTGCAAATCCTAAACCTTACGTAGGCCCCCATCCCCTACACTCTAAACCCCTGAAGCCCACACCCTCAACCACAACCCCAAGCCCACCAATTCCCGGCCTTGCTCTCTCTTTTTCATTTTTTTTGTTTTGGGGGGGGGGGGGGGGGAGGAGAAGGGTTCAAGTCTACGGTTTAAGGTTCAGTTTCTGGCGGGTCTGGGGTTCAGCCGAGTTTTAAGTTTAGGGTTTAGGGTTCAGGCTCATATTGAGGGCTCACAGAGTGCAGGATTCCTCTTTGTAATTGGGGGCTAGTTTGATTAAACTAGTCAAAAATGAAAAGTTGAAAGCGAACACAGAGTTAGTTAAATTTAAGTATTTATCCCCTTCTAATTCGAATAGCTGTAGCTATAATAAGATTCTAATATATTAAACTCTAGTAATCCGAGGGGTAAACGTGTACAATTAGGAGATGCTGCATTGTGTTGTTTACACAGTTAACAGTGAAATTAGCCCTCACAACAATACTAATCTGAAGGGCAGACTGGCACAACTAGCTACCTTTGTTTCAGCAATAGGTGCTTTGTTAGTGCACTTAGCCCTTAAATAGATCAGCCTTCCTCCGCGCGACACTGCTAATCTGAGTGGCAGACTTGTATACATGGTGGTCAGTACATTTGTTGCTTATGACAAGTACAGGTAGTTCAGTTCGTGCAATTCGCCCTTAAACAGAAGAATATGTTTTCCTCATTGCACTTCTAATCTGAGGGGCAGACTTGTATAACCGATGGCTACAGACTGCATGCGAGGCTGCAACTCGCAATCGCATTCATAGATTTGTCGAGGGCGGCAGGCACGGGGTCGGGACGGCGGACCGCAAAACCAAAAGAAAACGACCCAAACAAAGGAGGCCTATCTCCTGGACCCTGAAGACTAGTCACGACAGTTGTGTGGTTTTGCATCTTCGTTTTTGTTGGGGGGTCTTGGCCACTTGCGGTGATACCTGTTATAACAATTCCGGGTACAAAACCTAAACTGCAGCAAAACAAACAGTTGCAGCACTGTTCCCCGGACCCGGACTAGTCCTCATTTTATGACTTTGCTTGCAGTTGTTTCGGCGGGCTTGTTGGTCCAAGGGCGACCGCTTCCCTTATTGCCCACACCGCGGCATGCATAACCGCAGGGCGAAAGTGGCCGCTTGGAAGCACCAAGCTTCAGGCACGACTTGATAGGACATTACTTCTCAAATGCGCTTCGTCTAGCTTCACGGTGACATCGTCGTATAAGGTAGGCTTAAAGATCGCGAAAGCTTGAAAAGACAACCAGGCGTCCACATATCTGAAATGACAAATGGGAACCAATCTGTACTCCCCTCTGGCCTCAAAGTCTATACCCACATAAAGCCTGTAAGGCCCGAAGGAACACTAAACATTACCTTCGCGATCCCGGAACATTCCCTTCGGTCGTACAGTCCGAACAGCAAGCGGACGCGCCTTTGTCCGATGCCTCCGCTTCCACGCTCTTCCTCGAGGGTCCCGGGTGCTTTTAAAGGCAGACTAAAGGTTTAGAAAGGTTGAGAATGGTTATATGTGTTGTAGGGTCAAATAATAAGGTATGAGAGGTTTTCACAAGATTTTATATTTATAAGGGTTTAGGGCGGTGGATCATGACATTCTTCGCTTTCATCATGGTCGCCAAAGTCATCGCCAGCATCATGATCATCAGCATCACCATCTCCATGACTCATCATCATCATCATCATCATCATCATCATCATCATCATTGTCGTCGTCATCGTCGCCGCAATTCCATAACAAAGCTAGTAATTAGCTGTAATGCAGCTGTGAAATGACATGGGCAATCATGCAGCAAACCCAAAATCACGATGTTATTGGGGTTTAGATTTTGAATGTTTTGGGCTCTTCGATTTTAGGGACCCCGAACTACCAAACCCGCTGTTGCGCCCTGGATGCAGTCCCAGATTCAGCCCCTCTCCAGGAGGGCAGAACGCTCCCAGCTTTCGCAAGGCCTGCTCGGGTTTGAGGATTTCGAGTTTCTGGTATCAGGCTTAGGGCTCAAGGTTGCGGGTTAGGGGTTTGATCTGAGAAAGGAATCTTCCACAGGCAGACTTACCTCCTTTGGACAATGATGATTCTGATTTAGATTCCACTAGTGGCACAGCACTCGTCTTGATGATTTTCATGGTAGCCTAGACTCTAAACCCCAAGCTATTGCCCGTAGTCAATGCCTCCTTTGTCCCACTCGCTCAGGACGTTTGCCCGTGGGAGCGGTCAAGCAAGACAACTAGTCCGCGCATGTCTAACCAGGACTCGGCTGTCTGCAGCAATCGGTGAGCAATCCATTCTACTCACTACCACTCCCTCATTAAACTCAAACCGTAGAACTAAACCCCGGCAACTCCAAACTTGAAGCCCAAGTTTCAGCGTTCCTTAAACAAAAAAGCTATGACCTTGGCATCGACAGCAAGTACCCATTTCTTGATGGAATCCAAGACTACGTACAAACTCTGAACGCGTCTGCCCAGGGTTTGGGGCTTGGGGTTTCCATTGACGGGCCCTTTGCCCTCTCCTTTAACTTTAGCAGCCATGCCCTGAAAGAGCTCGCTCGACCTTTCCGTAGGTTTCAGAACGGGGTTTAGGGCCTAAGCTTGGGGTTTAGGTCTTAGGCTGCTTCCTCTGGAACCACACTGAAATTCGCCTTGTTGTGCTCAATGTCTTCGGACGTAGTCTCCACTTGCTGCGAGAAGTGCGGTGAGCAAGCACCTTGTTTGGTTCTGAGGGTTGGGGAGCTATAAACACATAAACCTTTGAAGCATCCCTATAAGGGGGGTGGGGGTAGGCTTTAGTGGTTGATGTTGATGCGGCATTGCTGGTCCCAAATGTTTAGAATGCATGGGGATTGTCTTGAAGCTGCCTTGTGCTACCAAACTCTGCTGGGCTTCAAGACTTGAACAGCAGAACTACCGTGGTTCTGGTCGACAAAATTCCTACAGCCAGAAGGTCTGCGCGAACTTGCACAGACACAGAGCACAAAGAGAGAGACTGAGAGAGAGACAAGCCTAACAAATGAAGCCACTGAGGTAGGGTTTGGGGCTTATAGGGTTGTTCATCTTAAGCCATGAACTAGGCCCGAAACCCCAAGCTGCCGGCCCCAGTCACCCTGCAACCTTCGCGAAACCAACCTACCATTAGCTTGGCGTCGCAGCTCCACATTCAGCTTGCCAATACATGACCTGCACATATAAATTGTGAGCCCGAAGCCCGAAACGTTAAAACTTGCACCCTCGCGCCATTTGATTAAGTCCGGTCCTAGAACCCTGATGGAGTGACCAAGACCACGAACCTCGGGGCACAACCTCCAACTCCGACCCCAAAATTCCTAAAACGCCGCCGCCGCCCTACCCCCCACCCCACCCCCAACCCCACCCCACCCCACCCCAACCCCAACCCCCACCCCACCCCACCCCCCCTTCCCCACCCCCGCTTCCCTTCCCCACCCCACCCTCCCCACCACCCCTTCCCCAACACCCTTCCCCACCACCCCCACCACCCCCCACCACCCCCACCCGCACCCCCACCCCCTCCCGGAGACCGGTGTCTGTATGCACCAGGCCGCAGCGGGCGCACCACGCTACCACACTGTTTGGGGAAGAAGCGAACATGCGGACTCCCAATTGAGTGTTGCAAGAAATCATGGGCCGATGATCAGGGCAGTCTAAGCACCAAAGAATAGAATTTTCATTAAATTATATGATGCGGGCCCAGTACCTGCGACCCCGTTGCAGCAGAAAGCCCCTTGCGGCCCCGAGTGGCCCAAAGAAGCGACGTGGCTGCAGCGATACTTCACCTAGGAGCTTCAGGTTGAGGCGTGAGGGTTTGACAAGCTCATGGTGATGATGTTGGTGATGATGTTGGTGATGATGATGGTGATGATGATGGCGATGGTCACTGATAATGATACTGCTGACAATCAGTAGTGCTGGCAATACGAGGAGACAAGCACATTGCAGACCACCTCGACTCAGAAGAAACACCAGAAGAATCTGCATCTTGGAACAGGCTAAGACCTTTGGAATTCATGGCTTAAGCCTAGAGCCCCCACAAGCCTAAGACCCTAAACACCCTCAACCAGGAAGTCCCACCTCGCCGCTGGTCTTCTGCACGTAGCTGATGACCTCCAGCAGTGCTGAGACCTAAAGTCCTGGGTCTTAAGCTCGTGGTTTAGGGTTTAAGGTTTTTGGCTGTCGCAATTCGGGGCTTATGGTTCGGGACCCCGAGTGAGCTTTGTGCCCCGTCGCGGCCTTGGGCGCATGAAAAGTTCAGGGTTTTAAGTCTTGGGACCTTCAAATGGCCGGATCCTTCGGCGTCTCTAGATCCTACACCCGACAACTTAAGCCTTCACCGACAAGACCGAAAAGAGAGTCCTAGAACCCAACCCTAAACCCATTTAACCCCGTGAAACCTATACCCCTCAGGCCCTAAACCCTTAAACCCAAGATGATCCCAACGCCCCTTCGACCCAAATCCCTATAGGGGTCACCGAACAGATGGCACATGAACTCTTAGCATTCAATATGGCACGCGGGCCAAAACGATTGCTCAACGCAAAAAACCGAGCCGAAGATGGCTCGCAGATGGGGAACTCGATCTGAGAACTCTGTATTGGGGGGGGATGACAGGCCGAAAGTATCGAGAGGCGCGGCACTTTTGGGGGGGTGTCCCTGATCCTCAACGTCTCGGCATGCCTCCGAAATGCCCTCAAGCTCTTTCAGCCATGAGCCATTTTGGGGTGCAAGGACCGTGCGGGTGTGGGCCTAGCAAGAAAACGCGTTTTGCACACTAAGATGGCTTTCGAAATTGTCAAATGGGCTCAAAGCCAAAAATCGAGCCTAAGATGGCTCGCAGATGGGGAACTCGATCTGAGAACTCTGGATGGGGGGGGGGGGGCTGACAGGCCTACCCTGAACAAATATTGAAGCCTTTACAGTACCTTCTCAGGCGCGCCTGATCTCCCGGGCAGGTCATGGGGGCGTCCACGAGGCCGGGAAGGCCGTGGGATATCGCCCACTCCTGCTCGATACCTGGGTCAGCGCTTTTAAAGATTACGAAATGGGCATCAAGGATAACTTACGGGCTTTGGGTTCTTCACCTGGGCATCATGTAAGCAAGCATAGAACAGATTCCCGACATTGAAGTAGGGCGCTTTAATGCCAGTATCTGCGCCAATAATATTCCTACAGCAGCAGAGGCTGTGGGGCCTATCTTATTCCTAAGGAGCCCTATACACATCCACCAAAATCCGGTATAGCTTGGAAAACCGCCAAAATCATGGGCCTGTGTTCACGTTCTCAGCCGTCGCAGGGGTTTGAACACCTAGCTTCCAAGAGCCTGAAAAAAAACCCTCATCGAAACCCTGAGTTAGGGGGTGGGGTGTAGGATTTTCAGGGCTGTCTGAAGGCCTCAACAGGAGAACCAGACCTTGGGCACCAGCTAAACCCCTGAACAGCCTCAACAAAAGCCCTTCCCTTTTTTGAGCCCTAACCCTAAAACCCCGATAAATAAACCCTAATTAAACCTTAAACCCTGAAGGCCTCAAACCCGAAACCTTGGCGTAGGGCCCCCAGCTCCGACTTAAGCCGGCCACGGTGCGTTGAGTGCAGGAGACCTCCTCCACACGTCCGCGGCCGCGGGCTTCGAGGCACTTTCCGTTGCCGGCATGGATGATCTTCCTGGTCGTGTTAAGGTTTTGAGCCCTGGGCCCTAACACGTAGATCCCAAGGTCGTAAACCTTGAAACCCTAGAACCTGAATGCCAAAAGATTTTGAAGCCAAGGCCAGGGACACAGGATTGAAACAGTTAAAGAGCTGTCAGATCGCGACTTTACGGTTGGGGTTTAGGGTTTGCAAGGGTTGAAACCTGTGGTTTTTCAGACGGTTGAAGTGCCATAGGCTGCCTTTGGGTTCAGATTTTAGGCTCAAGCAACCCTAATGTCCTTTCGGGTGTTGAACAGCTACTCAGGTGGGGCTTCAGGTTTATGCAGGAACTTGCTTCAGTACCCCGGTTCTGGTTAGGATTTCTAACCTGGGTGTGTCCAAATGTCCAGCGTTTGTTTTTAAACACAGTTTCCAACCCCAAACTCAAGCACCCGACCCATAGGCCCGAACCTTTTAAACCCGAAACCCCTAACTTCGAACAACCTCCTCGACTGTCGCACTCCAAGCCCTGGATTGCTAAACCCAAACATTCCTAGAGCCAACATGGCACTTAGAACCACTTCTAAAGATTAAATGTCTGCATCCTATAAGACCCATAAGGAAACCCAAAAGCGTAAGGTCTTAAGCTCCTAGCCAAGTCCAAAACAAGAGCTTCAAGCCCTGCCTCAACTGCGACATGCCAAGCTACAAAAAAAATCTTACATCCCACTATAAAACCCTTTGAAACCCCTTGAAACCCCATGAAACCCTTCTCGAAACGCACCAGTTCCTGTGGTTCTGAAAGCCGAAGAATGTAGGAGCCCTATCAAAACCCCAGCTACCTCCCTAAACTCCAATCACTGGATGTTCGGAGGCCCCCGCTTCTCGTCTTTGTCCCAGCGCCACTCCCCTGGAAGCATGTGTGGTTCACGCCTGCACAGCTGTGACGGTGGCCCCAAAGCTGGCTGTGAAAGTTTGTTATGGGACTTGTTTGGGTTTTAGGCGCGTTTTGTATGCGGGTTTACTAAGGAGGATCCTATGATCCAGCGTCTACAGCAGGTGCCCTCGCTGCTGAAACTCATACGTCCTGAAAGAACCCTGGACCGGGCAGAGCTTCGGGCGTAGTAGGGGTTGTGGGGGTGTGAGCTTTAGGGCTTTAGGGCTTACCGGACCAACAAATCCTAGGCCGAAGCTGAACTCAAACCCACCAGCCGATTGGGTGGAGGATTCATAACAACAGAACAGCTTAAGAGGTGCATGATCAAAATGTGATGCTCACAACGTACGAACAGCAGCCAGAGTTCACGCTTGGGGGGGGGGGGGGGCTTGAGGCGCCGAGCTCAGAGGCTCAGCCTCAGAGCAGGGTAATTGGTAGGAGATGAAGTGCTTCCACCTCTCCGAAACCTGTAGAAAGACTCATGCGTCCTGGAGAACCTGATGTAGGGGTCCCGAGGGCGGGTTTACTATTAAAATTAGCGCCTTCCATCACAAGGAAACACCTTGTGGAAGAAGCAACCTCCATCGAAAAAACCATGATGGTACGGTTTCTATGTTGGGTTCCTGATGAATGAGGCTATGAGTGCAGGGGAGAACGCATTATTGAGGGCTTCTTTCTGCGGTTAGAATCTTGGGGCAAAAAGGGCGGCTTGACAATAGTACTACAATAATACAACCGCCAAGACACGGTCCGTAAGGAATGAACTCTCTCTGTGCTCGCTCTTTCTTCGCTCGTAATCCAAATAACAAAGGGGCTCTGTTATTATTATGTTCATGAGCCCCTTAATGCTATACAATTTTGAAAGGAACGAAGTGAGTAAGCGAACGTACTGCCTGAACTGAATGAATGGTCTTGTAAGCCTAAACCCAAACCCCCAGCCCAATACAACCCTAGAAAAACCCTACAAAACTGTAAACCCTTGCAAAACACTTTGAAAGCCTAAGCCCCTCTCGGGAAGACGTGTTCATATGCCTTCCACCACGACCTCCTCTTAACAGAGGATTCCAAAGCTTAATGGAGGATTGTAAAGCTTGCGGGCTCAGGCCTTGGGCATTCTTGGCCAGGCATGCATGCAGCACGCAAGGATTTCTGACGCCAAAAAGGTCTAGACACTAAAACCCTACACCCTCCCTCTCTCTCTCTCTCCCTCCCTCTCCCTGTTACCCGAAACCCCAACACCCTAAGTCCTTGGAACCCTAGAACCCTAAAAGCCCTTTTTTTGCTTCCAGGCCTCTTGCAGCCAGCCGGGTTAAATCAGCCCTGAACATTGGGACCCTAAACCCTAAATATTCCTAAACGCTAAGGATTCAACGTGCGGCATCCAGGGCAAGGATCCCGGCTCTCGCCTCAGGTGAAACTTGGCCTCTCCGCCAATGGGCTCCACGGTAATCTCCTCATTCTCCGACTCCTCGGGTTGGCCGCGGCTGCAGGAGGTTTTGGGTTTATTGTATGAGGGTGTTATAGGGTTTAGGTTATCTAAGTTCTAAAGATATGTGTTAGTCCACACAACAAAAGTAGGACGACGGCAAAACGACGGAGGGACGACGGAGGGACGATGGTGGGACGACGGAGGGACGAGGGCAAGACGACGGAGGGACGACGGCAGGATGACGGGGGGACGACGGCAGGACGCCGGGGGGACGACGGGGGGACGACGGGGGGACGACGGGGGGACGACGGAGGGACGACGGGGGGACGACGGCTGTCGCGCCGTCGTCGAGCCGTCGTCGCGCCGTCGTCGCGCCGTCGTCGCGCCGTCGTCGCGCCGTCGTCACGCCGTCATAAGGCCTAGTTTAAGCCCAAACTAGGCCTTATTTAGCCCAAACTAGGCCTTATTTCCCGTCATAAGGCCTAGTTTAAGCCCAAACTAGGCCTTATGACGGCGGGACGACGGCGGGACGACGGCGGAACGACGGCGGGACGACGGCGGGACGACGGCGGGACGACGGCGCGACGACGGCGCGACGACGGCGCGACGACGGCGCGACAGCCGTCGTCCCCCCGTCGTCAGTCCGTCGTCGCGCCATCGCACCCTGTCGTCGCGCCGTCGTCACACCGTCGTCGCCCCGTCGCCACCCCGTCGTCGCGCCGTCGTCATCCCATCGTCGCCCCGTCAAGGCCCTGACGTCTAGACCCCTCTAGCTGGACTAGAAACCATACCCCACATATCTCTAGAACTTAGATAAGGTTTAGGGTTTAAGTGGGGTTCAAGATTCAAGGGTTAAGGGATTTGAGGGTTTAGGATTCAAGGTTCTTGGTGTCCGGCGTAGCGCCGGAGAGCCAACCGGCCGAAGTGCAGACGGCACTACAAGCGTGAGCGGCGTGACTCAATGAGGCTGTACACCATGAAGCTGTCCAACTGGCAGCCTGGCAGACGCCGATTGTTCAGCAGTGCAGCAAGCCCGCTCTCATGCCAATCAGGTGATGAAGCTTCCCAAATGCCTGCAGGAGGACCTCAGAAAGGTCGCGCACCCCGTTCCACACTCGGGAAATGGCTGTCTCGCTTCAGGCGAGGAAGTCTGCACACAGTTTGAGCCTTTTCGAGCTGGTACAGGATGTTGCTTGGCGGGTAATTCGGGTTGCCTACCGGTCAAGTCCGGTTCAGTGTGGTTTGGCGCCATTTGCTCCCTAGCTTCCGTCGTGCGTGTGTGCATTTCCTGCAGGTGCCTTTTGCGTGGCGTACGTAGTCGTTGAAGCGCGTTGGCAGTAGTACGAGAGTCGGCGATCGTCCCTATGTGGTTGACAGACAAACACAGATGCGGTTCAGCTGCAGCCGTTATCAGCCGTTGTTCCAGGGTGTGATGCGTACAATTTAAAAGCCCCAGTCGAAGCTGAGCAAAATGCACCCTTTTCGATCAAGTCGTCCGCTCTGGCACCTCTCTTTCTCTATCCTAGAGTTTGTGCAGCTTCGCATGTCGGATGGTACTTCTATGCAGTGAAGCGAAGAAGAAGTTGAGGGTGTAGGAGGCTCGGACCTTTCGGGGTTCAGGGGGTTTGCACTTCGCGCCTCTTGGCCCTAAGAACCTGAGCCCCAAAGCCTACTCCCTAAACAGCAACCTTAAACCTATGAGCACATGCTGTGCTACCAATACGAAGAGCTATCCAGGTACACCGACTGATACTTACCGCATTGCTGAGACTGAGACTTGTCGCAAATGCTACCACCATGCTGACTATGCTATACCCTTTCATTTCATCAACGTCAACATCGCCATGCGTCCTACTCATCCGCGTCATCGTCATCGCCATCATGATCATCAACATCATCATAATCTTGATCAGCATCATCACGATGTGTCGGAATATCGCATCATCGCCATCAACACATTTATCTTGCACAAACAAAGGCTGATAGCCAGCCAAGATGCAGGATGCAAGGCAGTAGAACGAAGATTTGTTTCAGTACATCACCAAGAACACAATAATATCAATGCTATAAGCATATTCATATTATATATGAACAAGATCATGCGCCGCCAAAAACATGACAGCACTAAGAGCAAGAGTCGTTTTCAGTCCGCCTGTTTAGAATAAAGACCATAATAGGGCTAGGGGGTCAGGTTCATTGCGAGTTTGGCCACAGTGGTTTGTAGGTTTTCATGCCTTGGAATCCTGATCTCCCACAGCCGAAACCCTAAACCCGAGACCTGAGACCCAAAACCCTAACATCGAAACCTTAAACCCGAAAATGAAACCCCGAAACCCTGAAATGCAGAAGGGCAGCACTACACTCCAGATGCAAGGCCATCGTGAATGCACTCGCGGGAACCTCGCTTCGATCCTGGGAAGCTTGATGGTGTTCGGGCTCGGGCTTTAATTGGGGCGGTCGGGGTTGAGGGTTAATTAATGGCTCGCCGAGGGCTTGGGCCAAACGACTTGTATGCTCCTCGTCTATATAGAGTGTGGAATGTCGACCCTGGCCAAGCACCAAACCTAAATCCTGACCCCTACATCCTAAACCCTCATACCTGGGCGCTTTATTGAACCCAGACTCTAAACCCTAAACCCCTACACAACACGTACAGAGCTCTCATACGACCTCACCCTGGTTTCAGGGTCTCAGGCTTGGGGGTTTGTTGTTATGGTTCATGGGTTTGGCTTTCTTGGAAAAGGTCAGGATCTAGTGTTTCGCAAGTAGGACTTTAGGGTTTCGGGTTTCTGGATTGGCGACTCTTGGGGAAAGGGTTGATTGATTGGGACTGCAGGTTTAGGCAGGGTCTAGGGCTTCAGGCTTTTTGGGATTAGGGTCCGAATGGGAGCAGAGCGAAACAGATGACTAGTTTGGGCACGCCACGATACCTTTTAGAGTCCATGGTTTAGGGTTAGTTTGGGGCTGGGGGCTTACGAAAACTTATGCAGAACCTTGATTTGACACAAGAAACCCTGGCACCAAAACGACAACTATTGCCAATCAACATGAATGAGGAGCACACACCACTGAAGAGTGTAGGGTTTAGAGGGGTCTGCACCACAAAAATGCCTCTTACCACCCAGCAGAAGGCGTATAAGTTTGACTAAGAAACAGCTTCATGTCTATGGTCGAATATCGTGTATTTCAAGGCCCCCTTCCGCTTCTTCCCGAGAATCGAATTTCTGATTGTTGTCGTCATGGCAATTGTGAATGTAAATGTTGTGGGAACCATCCAGCGCCATGTCCAAACACCTGGGCACTTGTCAGGTATGACTGTCTCGTGCCAGGACCCGTGGAAACAGAGCGTACGATGCGTGCGGACCCTTTGCTCTAAACTCTAAACTACAACATGGCAACCACCTGCCTGTGGTCGTGTTCGCTTCGGATCTGAGCCGTGTCCTCATCCCAATACCACTTCTGATTCGGCTCATCGTGGCACTCGTGCATGAAGACATTCCTCAGAGTTCGATTTCACTGGACCCAACATTGGCGAACACATTCCAAAAACAATCGCACCGCTTGTCCTAGGGTTTAGTTGGAGGCAACTTTACCCCACCGACCGAGGACTCCGCCCCTAAAACCATTCTCCGAGCCCCTTCTCAAGATACATTCTGCGAAGGCCACGACCTTCCAAGAACCCCGAGCAGCTTCTACGAGCTCTGAGTGGATGGTGCGATGGGCGGGCATGGGGGGCAATGTTACCTCTGATTTAAAGCTTTAAGTGCACCTTCTCTGCCGGCACGACTCTCTGTGCCAACGTCGTAGTCCAAGCACTTGCCATCATGCATGGATATGATGTTGCCATCCAGCGTGTACCACATCTGATTGTGGGCATGGTGGCAGTTGTACATCTGCACATTCCTCGGCCGCAGCAGGGTGCCGGGTTGAAACCAAGTTGGTCGTCGTAGTAGTAGTAGTAGTAGTAGTAGTAGTAGTAGCAGTAGCAGTAGCAGTAGCAGTAGCAGTAGGAGTAGCAGTAGTAGTAGTAGTAGTAGTAGTAGTAGTAGTAGTAGTAGTAGTAGTAGTAGTAGTAGTAGTAGTAGTAGTAGTAGTAGTTGTTGTTGTTGTTGTCGAAGCAGCAGCAGTAGCAGCAGTAGCAGTAGTAGCAGTAGCAGTAGCAGCAGTAGCAGTAACAGTAGCAGCAGCAGCAGCAGCAGCAGCAGCAGCAGCAGCAGCAGCAGCAGCAGCAGCAGCAGTAGGAGTAGTAGTAGTAGTAGTAGTAGTAGTAGTAGTAGTAGTAGTAGTAGTAGTAGTAGTAGTAGTAGTAGTAGTAGTAGTAGTAATAGTAGTAGTAGTAGTAGTAGTAGTAGTAGTAGTAGTAGTAGCAGTAGTTGTAGCAGCAGCCGTAGCAGCAGCAGCCGTAGCAGCAGTAGCAGTAGCAGTAGCAGTAGCAGTAGCAGTAGTAGGAGTAGCAGTAGCAGTAGCAGTAGCAGTAGTAGTAGTAGTAGTAGTAGTAGTAGTAGTTGTTGTTGTTGTTGTTGTTGTTGTAGCAGCAGCAGTAGCAGCAGTAGCAGCAGCAGCAGCAGCAGCAGCAGCAGCAGCAGCAGCAGCAGCAGCAGCAGCAGCAGCAGTAGTAGTAGTAGTAGTAGTAGTAGTAGTAGTACTACTACTACTAGTAGTACTAGTAGTAGTCGTAGTGGTAGTAGTAGCAATAGTAGTAGAAGAAGTAATAGTAGTTGTAGTAGTAGTAGTAGTAGTAGCAGTAGTAGCAGTTGGAGTAGTAGTAGTAGTAGTAGTAGTAGGAGTAGCAGTAGTAGCAGTAGCAGTAGTAGAGTAGTAGTAGTAGTAGAAGTAGTAGTGGTAGTGGTAGTAGTAGTAGTAGTAGTAGTAGTAGCAGCAGCAGTAGTTGTTGTAGCAGTAGCAGTAGCAGTAGTAGCAGTAGCAGTAGTAGCAGTAGCAGTAGTAGTAGCAGTAGAAGAAGTAGTAGCAGTAGAAGAAGTAGTAGTAGTAGTAGTAGTAGTAGTAGTAGTAGTAGTAGTAGTAGTAGTAGTAGTAGTAGTAGTAGTAGTAGTAGTTCTCCCCCCGCCCCCTGGGACGCGAAGCACGTTTTTTTTTTTTTTTTTTTTTCAAATGCGCTTTTACTCGAGTGTTTGAGGGTCGTTTTTGAAAATCGAATACTTGCTGTAGGAAAACATAGTTTTTTGGTTGTTTAACGATGTTTTAGGATTTTTTTTATGCAAAAGTGTTATAAATACCAGCATTCGCATTGTGTTTTTCGCTTTTCTTCTTCATTTTGCCGTTTTTTGAAATATCAAAAAACAACGTGTTTTAATTTGATGGTTTCCTTGTCCAGATTTTTGCGATTTTGTTGTTTTTGTTGGTTGCTGCTGCTGACTGCTACTATTATTACTCTTCTACTACTCTGCTACTACTACCCCCCCCCCCCCCCCCGCCCAGTGCGACGGATGCCGCGTCTAGCCGTCAACATGAAACCGTTAAAACGCGGAGTACGTTATGGTTGTCGATGGGGTTTTAATCAACGAAAACTAATCACCTCCCCCCACCCCCCACCCTTCCCCCAAAAAAAACAAAGGTTGCACTGGGAACATGGATGTTTTCATCGTTGGAGCACGGAAAAAATCGGTGGTCCTCGACTATGATCAACCGACTTGCAACATGGAAGCGCAACCGCGAAAACCCTTACGCAACAGCGAAAATGCTGGTATTTGCCGCATGTTTGGTGAGCTCGTGCAGATGCACGTGCAAATATGCTGGTATGTACAGCTTTTTGGTCAACAGCCCTAGACCGTGGTCGTCCAGCAAAGGTCGAGGAAGCCAGGCACACCCGGTGGCATGCAAACTGTGTGAGGAAAATGAAAGAAAGAAAAACGCGAACGCTGCTATGTAACGGATGCACGTGTGCCGAACGTAATAACCCCCCCCCCAACCCCTCCCCAAAAACAGACATGGATGAAACACCACATCGTCCGGGATATGAAACATGCTGGTAGTACTAGTAGTAGTAGTAGTAGTAGTAGTAGTAGTAGTAGTAGTAGTAGTAGTAGTAGTAGTAGTAGTAGTAGTAGTAGTAGTAGTAGTAGTAGTAGTAGTAATAGTAATAGTAATAGTCGTCGTCGTCGTCGTAGTAGTAGTGGTAGTAATAGTAGTAGTGGTAGTCGTAGTAGTAGTCGTCGTAGTAGTAGTAGTAGAAGTAGAAGTAGAAGTAGAAGTAGTAGTAGTAGCAGTAGTAGTAGTAGTAGTAGTAGTAGTAGTAGTAGTAGTAGTAGTAGTAGTACAAGTAGAAGTAGAAGTAGAAGTAGTAGTAGTAGCAGTAGTAGTAGTAGTAGCAGTAGTAAGCACCACGGCCCTGATTTGTCCCAGCAGCGGGACACCTTTTTATGAAGCTAGCTGACACCTCCTGCTCGTGCGATGGCTCTGACTGCATCTTTGACTCTTGTCTCCTTTGCAATGATCATTACAGATATTCACGACCTGGAGGCGTTAACTGGACAGTCAGATGTAGCAAAAGCCGCAATGGACCTGCAGAGGTCCCACCAGAGTCTTGCGCTAACCGCCCAACGCCAAATCCTGAAACTGAGGGTCCATAGACCTCTAGAGCCCAAACGCCGTTAGGGTTTAAGGATTAGGGATAGGGCTGCCACAGAGTTTAGGGTTTAGAGTTTAAGGCTTAGAGTTCAGGGTGAGGGCTTTGGGTTTAGGGCTTATGGTTTAAACCTTCGGGTTTAGGGCTTCGGGCTTAGGGCTTTAGGGTTGAAGGCTCAGGGCTTAGGGTTTAGGGCTTCATTTAGGCTGAGGATTTTACAGCTAGGCGACACCCCTAGGGAAGTAGCGCTGCTGAAGGCCCAGGCATCTTGCACCTTCGAATTGTATCTGAAGCCGGGAGGAAACGGGAATGTTTCTTGTAAGCCTTTGGTTTCGGGGTTTAGGTTTAGGTTGAGGTTGGATGATACGTTTCTTTCCTAAGACATGGCTTCTTTGTGAAGCTGGTCAGTGCAAACCCCAACCTCTAAGCCCCCAAAACCCTCAAAGCTTCAAGACTTAAGGATTTGGGCCCCGACGATCTGGGTGTGCAGATACGTGCCATATTTCTTGCGCTGCGCTCACACTGCACTCAGCCCTTCCAATGATAACGTTTCGAAGCCCTCGACTCCGACGATGCCTCCTCCTCGCTATGCACAGCTGCCTTTCCAATTGGCGGCACGTTGCCTAAGGCCTGGGCATGGGAACTCCGATGCAATGGCGGCTGCCACAGCAATGCTTGCGAACGACACACTATGTGTGAGGTGACATAGCAGAACCACGCCATGACCTGCTGCAAGCACATTCCATTTCCAGCCAGCTTTTTGCGAACGTTGCTTGACAGCTCCTTCAAGCAAGTCGGCAGCACGCTCATGTACTTGTAACTGTCTCCCATAAGGAGCGTAGGCCAGCCCATAGCAAAGTCGACCTCGCTGGCAGTGAAGATGTGTTCCCGAGTTGCGGACACGAGCTGGGAAGATTTGGTGGATGGCGGAAGCAATGAGCTCACACGTGGTCGCGTCTCACTTTGAGTAACATCCACGATGATGGCGTTGCCACCCGGCCCACTCTCCTTCTTCTGAGCCTTCTCGACACCAGCTTGCATCCTTGACCAGGTGGCTGGAGGGAACAGGGACTTGAAGGGCACGTCCTCAAAATTTGAGAAGCATCCGCGCTTCTTAGCAAACTCAGCGCGAAGATCAGCAATGTTCTCAGGCAAGTCCATGCCTGCATACACATCCCCATTCAAGGCTGGGGCTTTTCGTAGCAAGTTCAGGAAGTCTGCTGTCACACATGGAGATGAAGCGGGCCCAAGCCACACGAGAGACCGCTGGTTGATTGCCACAGCATAAAGCCTGTCACGTGTGACAGGTAGCCCGAGGTCCTCACAAGCGTGAGAAGCAAAAAAACCCAGGTCTGCGAAGTTTAGGGTTTAGGGTTTTGTACGTTTAGGGTTTAGGGTTTAGGATTTGGTGCTTTGGGTAGAGACTAGCACAGACAGTAGTGGAGGCTTGGAGCGCTGCCGGCTGCAACCGGCCTTTGCATTACAAAGAGGCTTCTTCTGGGATTTCTGGGCTCATAAAAAATCAACAACCAAGAAGAAGCGAAATCTCCGTGCACCAAAATATCTCAAATAGTACTAAAATCCTCTATGGCGAAAACCGGAAAATTTGGCTTAGAAATTTGAACGCGATGAGGTTGCATGTCTCTTCCCAAATTAGGGTTTAGGGTTTAGGGTTAAGGGTTTAGGGTCGCAAATGCTCAGGTCCTGTGCGTCGAAGATGACATAAATGCACAGGTAGCCGACTTGGGACAGCTCGTCTGCGAAGAGAGCGAAGGGAAACCGAGCGGAATTCTCCATGAAGATGAGATCGAGCTCGGAGTGCTTCATTTTCTTGATCCAGCAATTCCAGGATTCCATCGCAGGGTCGGCGTCCCCCAACTGCGGGCCTTGGCTCGTCCACGGCGTGCACATTGGACCTGAAAAGTTCATCTTCAACGGTCGCGTCTGCTCATTGTCCATCGACATTGACGGGCTCCAGAACAGGGGACAAGACTCACCCGGGTGCAGTTTGCAACACTTTGCAGAGGCACCCGCCGTGAACAGCTCACTTTCCAAAGCAGTCATATATGCCCTCTGCGCGCTGTAGCAGGCAGCTGCTGCAGAGCGGCTGGCCCGCTTCGGCGGGCGCATGCTGAGAAGTCGGTCACGATGGTCTTGGGGCAAGCACTCCAACAGCCCAGTGAAAACATGATCCGGGCAAAGGTTGTCATCTGGCCCACTATCTGTAAGAACTTTCAAAGCATCAGGTGAAATTTCATTGCCACAATGACCGAAAAGCCACTCATCTGGCAATCGCATACCCATGTCCTGCGAGGGG